AACAGCATCCACAGTATAGGGGTACCAGAAAGAGAAGAAACAAAGCAAGGGATTGAGAACTTATTTGAAGAAATAATGACTAAAAGGTCCCCTAACCTTGTGTGTGAAGGAAAAAGACACACAAGTCCAGATAGCTCAGAGAGTTCCAAAGAAGATGAACCAAGAGTCCCAGGCCAAGACTCATAATTAAAATGGCAATTGTTAAAGACAAAGAGAGAATCTTAAAAGCAGCATGAGAAAGAGTTAGTTCCCATAAGACTATTGGGTGATTTCTCAACAGAAACACTTAGGCCAGAAGGGACTGGCACAAAATATTCAAAGTGATGAAAAACAAGGACCTACAAATAAGACTACTCTTCCTAGCAAGGCTATGCATTAAAATGAAATAAGAAATAAAGAGCTTCCCAGAAAGTTAAGTTAAAGGAGTTCATTACCACTCAACCAGTACTTAAGAAATATTAAAAGTACTTCTTTAAAAACAAAAAGAAAAAAGACAAACTTAGTTATAAAGAATAAAATGGCAACAAATACATACCTATCAATAATCACATTAAATGTAAATGGTTAAATGCTCCAATCAAAAGACACAGGGTAGCAGAGTAGATAAAAAAAAACAAGGCCCATATATATGCTATCTACAAGAAACCCACTTCCAATCAAAAGATACACACAGACTAAAGTAAAGGGGTGGAAAAAGATATTTCATGTAAATGAAAATGAAAATGAAAAAAAAAGCTAGGGGAAAAATACCTATATCTGACAAAAATAGACTTTAAAACAAAGGCTGTAATAAGAGACAAAGAAGGACACTACAGAATAAGTCCAACAAGAAGACATAACCCTTGTAAATATTTATGCATCTAACAAAGGAGCACCTAAATTTGTAAAGCAAATCTTGATGAGTATAAAGAAAGAGATCAACAGTAATACAGTAGTATTATGAAATTTTAAAACCACACTGACATCCATGGAAAAGTCTTCCAGACACAAAACAAGGAAACAGTGGCCTTAAATGACACACTAGATAAAATGGATCTAATTGATAACTTCATAGCATTTTACCCCAGGGCAGTGGAATATACATTCTTTTCAGTGAGCATTGAATATTTTCTAGGATACCACATGTTTGGACACAAAATAATTCTCAATAAATTTAAGATCAAAATCATATCAAGCATCAGTTCTGAACATAATGGTATGAAAATAGAAATCAATCACCAGAAAAAAAATTGAAAAACACACAAAAACATGGAGGCGACATAACATGTTACTGAACAATGAATGGGTTAACGATGAGATCAAGGAAGAAATTAGAAGATACCTTGAAACAAATTAAAATGAGAACACAACAACCCAAAATTGTGGGACACAGCAAAAGCAGTCCTAAGAGGGAAATCCATCGCATTACCGGACTACTTCAAGAAACAAGCAAAATTTCAAGTAAGAAAATTAACTTTACACTTAAAAGAACTGAAAAAAGAACAACAAAGAAAGCCCAAGAAGGCTGAGTAGAAAGAAGGAAATAATAAAGATCAGAGCAGAATTAAACGAAATAGAGTCTAAGAAAATACAAAAGACCGATGAAACCAAGAGCTGGTTCTTTGAAAAAACAAATAAGATTTAACCAGACTCATCAAGAAAAAAAAAGAGGACCTGAATAAATGAAATCAGAAACAAATGAGGAGAAATAACAACTGGTACCAAAGAAGTACAAAGAATTTTAAGAAAATATTACAAACAACTATATGCCAACAAATTGAACAATCTAAAAGAATGGATAAATCCACAGAAACGCATTCTTCCAAAACTGAATCAGGAAGAATCAGAGAATCTGAACAGACAGACTACAACTAGTGAAACTGAAGCAACAATCAAAATACTCCCCAGAAACAAAAGTCCTGGATTGGATGGCTTTACAGGAGAATTTTACCAAATATTCAAGGAACTAACACCTATCCTTCTCATAATACTCCAAAAAAATTCAAGAGGAGGGTAGACTTCCAAGCTTATTTTATGAGGCCAGAATTATCCTAATTCCAAAATCAGATAAGTCCAAAATTGGACCAAGAAAGAAAATTATAAATTGAGCTTTTTTTTCATGATTGTCCACCTAAGGAAACTTTTTAAAGAATATTTCTTTTTACCCAATTGCCTCCGTCTCATAAACTTTTTGGATTAGAGATGTAATTTTTATCTGTTTATGTAAGTGACCCTTTGAAAGGCCACAAAGCATAATAATATCCAATATATTTTTACTCTACCCCAAGAAGCAATCTGCCCCATTGGTGGTGATATTGCCCCATTAAGAAACATACAGTACACTAGGAAAATCAAGTGAGTTCTGGTCACAACCTCAAGGACCAAAAAGGGAGGCAATTCACAAAAGGGAAATGTAAAATTCATTACCTCCAAAAAGTGAAAAAAATATTATAAACCTCTGACTGTGATTTCCAGATACAAGGAATTTCTTATGGGGATGGTGTTAAGGAAAGAGGAAAAAATTTATATGTTTGGTTAAATAAACATAAAACAGAACTGAGTAAATGAAATTAATTCTAGGGGTTAATAAAATTCCAACCTTAATAAGGGAAATTTTCAGTAAAATCTTTATCGTAGTAATGAACTAAATTCTTATCTTCATTGAAACCTGTTCTAATTCTTTTTCAACTCTACATCTCCAGAGAAAACATAATGTCCATTTTTTTAAAAAGAAAATACAACACAAGGTATAAAATTATGAAAGGAATACAGTGTCATGATATTTGAATTCATTCCCTGGTATTGACATTTACCTTTTTAAAAATGTATGTTTCTCAACAGCCATTTACACAAAGACAGCTTCAAGGAGGCAAAAAGTTGAATTAATATTGACCTTAAATAAATGAAGAACTTAAAATTATGCTCGAAAACTCAAAAAAGAAAAGATTTCCTAAATAGAATAATAAAACACAAAATTCTTTAGCTTGTAAAAAAAAAAAGAAATAAAGGGGTAAGAATATTCAGTCATATATATCCAAAAGAACTGAAAAGAGAATTTCAGAGAGATATTTGCACATTCATGTTCAATGTAACATTATTCACAATAGCTGAGAGGTGTTAACAACCTAAAGGTCCACCACCAAATAAATGAATAAATAAAATGTAGTATGTAAATACAATGGGATATTAGCCTTGAAAAAAAAGGGAATCCTGTCACATGTTACAACATACATGATCCTGAAGGACATTATGACAAGTAAATGAACCATTCCCAAAAAGATAAATATTGCACGATTCCTTTTATATAAGATATCTAAAGTTGTCAAACTCACAGAAACAGAAAATATGATGTGGTTGGGGGGTTGTTGTTTACTGGTGTGTCAAGTTTGTAAAATGAAAATGTTCTAGAGATCTGTTGCACAAAATGTACACAGAGTTAACACTGCTATGATGTATACTTAAAATGGTTAAGATGGTGAATTTTGTTTTAATTGTAATTAAAAAATACTCATCATCAAACCAATAGTAGGTAATAATCAAAATTAGAATTACCTCCTCTAGTTTTTTTGCATATAATTCAGATATACAAATAAAACCATGGTAAACAGACTCTAAACATATCTGGGCAGATAAAATATACTTACATGTGTAGAATAACAACAAATGTCCACTTATATCATCAATTTAAATTCAATTATATATTAATAGCATTCAGTGTGTATTTATAAGTCTATAATCCCTTAAATAAATCTCCTAGGGAATTTGTGATAGAGAATGCAGAATTCTTCTGATTTTAGAAAAGTAGTATAGTGCATGTATTGATCATTATTATATAACTCCCACAGTAAGGTCTGAGGCAGCATCTTTTCATCAAGTACATGAACAATGCAGCAAAAACTATGAACAGTCACACTAGGTAGGATAATTAAAGACTATAAATAGCTTCATGTCAGTTCCGGTCAGATTAGGTTTTGCTGCCAAGAGCTTTTTAGATTCCAGAAAAATGGACATATGGATCCATTATTATAGTTCAAGAACCTGTCATCATTTTTAAGTGTGTAAATATTAATTATGTTTCATTCCCCATGATTTCACTATCAAAGTAATTCCAAGTAGACAAATAAAAACATAACTAATTCAATGTCACCACATGTGTTAGCATAAAGAACACTGACAGTTAGAATCCACTAGTTCAAAAAATGAAATATTCCATACAAGTTTTTACATGAATTTATCCTAGGCTAAGGTCAATTTTGTGTATTGTTTCTAATCTCTCTGCCTGTACTATCCAAATGATAGTCACTAGCCATGAACAGCTTTTGAGCATTTGAATGTGTCTAGTCCAAAGTTAGATGGACTATGATTTAAAAATCTCATTGATTATTTTCATATTGATTATGTTAAAATGATATTTTGATTATTTTGACCATACAGTGGGTTAAATAAAACATATTATTAAACTTCATCTCTCTCTTTTTAGTTTTTTAACATAGCTACTAGGATATTTACCATTATATATGTGGCTGGCATTACATTTCTGTTAGACAATGTTGCTCTATTCTCATATTAGTCATTATGGGCAAAACTAATTATATTAAAACATTACCTCCTCTACGATATCTCTCCTAACTACCCACACAGGGAGAATATGAGCCCTATGTATGTAATTCCATGGCTCCTATGCTTCCATCACAGCACTATTTCATTGTATTTTAATTGTTTACTTGTCATTCCCCAGGTTGAAATTTCCTCAAAAAAGAGACTGGACTTTTTTCTTTTTTAACCAGGAAATACTGAAGTTATTGTATAGGCATAGAGGAAGACTACCCAATGAAATACTATTAAGTTGATGTGAAAAGTTAGACAAAATTCTAAGACCACAAATGACTGGAACAATAGGCACTCATAAATTGTATCCTCAGTCTTTCAAAAAAAATTAAAAGAGAATAACATTAGTAAATTTTAAAAGTTCCATTTTGTTACAGAAAAAAAACCTTTAAAAATCTAGGTTGTTTTCTTACCTGAAGTCAAATTCCTAGCTGTACTTTGTGATTTCTGCATTTCAGTAGATTTAAAATTGAGATCATCCTGCATTATCTTCAGCTCTTGATTGGTGATAGAGGATACCTGTTTCATACGATTTATATTCTGTATTTTCAGAGAAAGAAAATGAAAAAATTCCACCAATTTAATTCTCTAATAAAGCTCTTAGAAAACACTGCTAAGGGATTGAATGTTTTGATTGGGTAGTCTTTAAAATACATCATTTATCATATACATTTTATAGAAGAATACAATGATATTCAAATAAGGTTTTCTCAGTAAGGACAGGCTAAGTTAAAATTCAAATATTTTTTTATATTTGCTTTATTTAAGTGCACAAAAATGCAACAACAATATTTTAAGAACTGACTTGAGTCCTACAACACTAACTATTGAAAACAAACAGAGCATTTTTCCTCTCACGGTACTACCCACTAGAGACTGCTCAATAAGCATGTTTTGCTGGGTCAAGATACTCATTATATATGTTGTTCTCTTGTAGATCTTAGAAGAACAGAATTCCTTCTATTTACAATACAAATTACAGTGTAAAAATATATTAACATATATATTAACATTTTCCAACATAACGTATCTGGATTTTGCAGTTTATCTGTGCAAATGCTACTTCTAAAAGTTCCGATAGATTAATATGGAAGAGAATCTTAATAATTACTCTGAATCAGTCCCTCTCTTACTGCTGATTATTACTATTATATACATATGTATAATATTGAAATATGTCATCTTTTTCCCTGTCATCCAACCAGTTAGCTAAATTTTGCTAGAAAGACAAAAATTAATAGCTTAAGGAAATAAAATAATAATCGAGAGAATTTAAAGGAAAGAGATAATTTATTTACTTATTTATTTAGTATTTAAAGATTTTGTTTATTTATAGAGAGAGGTAAAGGGAGGGAGAAAGACAGGGAGAGAAACATCAAGGTGAGAGAGAAACCTGCAACTTGGGCACATGTCCTGACTGCAAATCAAACTGGCAACCTTTGACTTTGCGAGACTCTGTCCAACCAACTAAGCCACAACTGGTCAGGGCTAAAGGAAACAGTTTAAATGTAATAGTAAACCACTGCATTTATTTTGTTGGAAAAGATAATCGCAGTAAAAATAATGAGGACACTAGGTCAGGTACATGGTACTTACCCGACTACTGTGCTCCAAAAGTGCAACAATGCTGGCTTCTATCTGTGCCTTCCGTTCCAGTTCCTGACTTTTCGTTTCCTCAAAAGTCTCAATAAAAGCTGCCAATCGAGAAACAATGATGAAAGATTACTACTAACATACTTAACACCATATAAACTCTGATTTGTAGGTCTTAAAAGTACATTTTAGAAAAGCAAATTTTAACCTATTAGTGTGTAACATTTCATTAAACCAAAGGTAATTACTCAATAAGAACATTTCTGCATACTTTCAAACTTTTACTTTTTTCTAGTTTCTATTTTTTAAAGATTTTATTTATTTCTTAGAGGAAGGAGAAAGAGAGGGATAGACACACTGCTGTGTGAGAGAAACATTGATCAGTTGCCTCTGGCACACCCCCAACTGGGGCCCTGGACACCAACCCAGGCATTTGCCCTGATCAGGAATCAAACTGGTGACCTTTCGGTTCACAGGCCAGCATTCAATCCACTGAGCCACACCAGCCAGGGCTGCATAATTCCAAACTCTTTTTTTTTTTAAGATTTTTATTTATTTATTTTTAGAGAGGGAAGGGAGGGAGAAAGAGAGAGAGAGAAACATCAATGTGCGGTTGCTGGGGGCCATGGCCTACAACGCAGGCATGTGCTCTGACTGGGGATCGAACCTGCGACACTTTGGTTTGCAGCCCACGCTCAATCCACTGAGCTACTCCAGCCAGAGCTACTTTCAAACTCTTAAAAGTTTAATTTTTATGACCTTATAAGATACAAGTAAACTAAACATTTATATAGGCCCAGAAGTAAAGATAAAAAGGAGGTAAGAAAAATTCTGTGTTTACATAGAATATATTTGATACATCTACAATTATTAACATCTATTATAAGCCACTAACTTTATTTCTGAAAATAGTATTAATTACCTATATTATCTGAAAATGCGTATTTTACTTATAATGCTGCATTAATCTTGTCTAAATAATTTAATAATTTTTTCAGATTATAAATATTCTATTAAATCATTCTTTTTCTTGTCTAATATAGAACCAATACACAATTTGCTTTTATGTACATTCTTAAAGTATTTCTATGGAGCTTCCAAAAATTAAAACTTATAGTTAAAAATAGTTTTACAGTTAGTATAAAACAATGAATTTTGATGTAATTTTTGGTACTTGCTGAGATTTTAAAGGAAAATCAGGATATTGTTAAATCAGAGTTGGCAATTATTGTTTTATAGCATGCTTCTTTGAAGGTAACTATTGACATCAGACTTAGGGAAGCTACAACCAAAGGCTACTGAATTTCAGTTAGTGACAGAACCAAGTAACAATAAATAATTAAGTAAATATTGTAAAAGCAACAAAAAAGGTGAAAGATATTAAAGCTGAACATAGTGAAACAGGTAAAAGAGAATATTCAACATTCAATCAGTAAGTGGTCTATATAGATTCTCTATGCAAACTGTAAGTACTAGATTTAGAATCTATTCCTAACATACAATCACAAACACATATACCTTTTCAGAATTCTTTACTTTTTCAGAATTCTTCACCTCTCCCCTAACTATGCTAGATCTTTAGTAATCCTTCAAGGCAAATGCTTTGAATGTCCACACTTCTGCATTTATTAGCCATTTTATCCTTCCCAAATGAGATCTCTGATTTGGTATATAAGTGAACAGCTACCTGAAGATACAGTATTTTCATCTGTAAGACTAAGACTTACTGTCCATATTTTCTTCCCTTTTTTTAAGCTCCTTGTACTTCTGATTCATTTCACCTATAAGAGATACAAAATATAATGTTAATTTCAAAAACTCTAGATACAGCGCTCTAAATTAGAAATAAATCTTAGGTGCTTCGTATGTCATTAGTCATTGAATATTCAATATTTTCATTTAGCTGTAATTCTTGTACACTGAATGCTAGAATCTTTTAAAACGGCTATATTTGTATGTTTGACTATTTGGAAATAAAGAATCTTCTGACTGGAAAGGACTTAAAGGCTTTCCAGTGGTTCTCTATATTAGTCCCAACTTGGAGCTATTCAACCTACACAAGAATACTACTGGTGATGGGAAACAGAAGATGCCAAAAAGTTCATTCCATCTTTGAATAGCTCACATTGACAAGCAAGATAGCAGGCTAACTTCCCCTACAAAGCGTAAAGTTTAGATGTTTCAAAAGCAATTAAAATTAAAGTGCACTAAGTGCTATCATAAAAAAAAGTTATATATACAAGTACACAGCAAGGTAAATTAATTTAGTTGAGGGGTTCAGGGAAATTTTCTCTAATATATTATTTAGGCTGCATTATAAAGAATAAATGAATAAGAGTTACCTGGTTAAAATACAGAAGATTAATTTCAAAGTCAAAGCATTTGAAGGTGAGGATGAATATGCTAGAACAAAAACTGAAAAAGTGGCATGGTTGAGGCAGAGAATGTAAGTGAAAAAAATGGCACAAAGATGAGCTTGGTTATATAAAAGTCTGAACTTCCTTCTATGGACAATGGTAAAATTACTGAAGAATTTTAAGCCGGGAGAAAATGGTCAGTTTGCATTTCTGAAAAATGTTTCTGGTCTGAAGAATCAAAGAGTAGTAAGATGGAGGTAATAAGACTAGTTAGGAGATTGTCACAGTAATGTGGGTAAAGATGAATGTTGCCTGGAGTAGAGTGGTGGCAAATTAGGATGTAAGGTTGTGAATAGTTGTTTGAGACATTTAAGAGCCAGAGTGAATGGATTTTGGTGAGGTTAGACTGGGAGAAGTCAAATGTGACTCCCAGGTTTCTACTTGAGTAACTGAGGACATGGTGGTGTTTTTAACTAAAAAGGGAAGCAAACTGAAGAAAAAGCTGCTTACAGCCATTTTGGATGTTTCATTATATATATATATATATATTTATTTATAATATATTTGTATATATTTATTAAATATATATATTTATTTATAATATATTCATATATATATATATGAATGGCATGTTTAAAAGGGCAAAAACCTGAGGGCCAGACAGATGGATGAAATCTGACATGTTAGCTGCATAAAGAGGCCATCAGCAGAGGTAGATCACAATTACTTTATGACAACAGGATTTTCATTGTAACCAAAATTGAGTTTTGGAGGCACATGGTATTTTCTTGGACTAGTGAGACAGCTGCAGCCCTGGTCCCCTGGGCCCCAGTTAAGAGTAAACTGAATAAATTTGTGTTTGCTCTATTCTGGAGAAACTAAGGAAGCTTATAAAGATAATGTCCAGCAAGGACAGAGGGAATAATAAGCCAGAGATTCCTGAGGAGGTTCTTAATGAGGAACCAGCATATAAAAGGACTTTAGGAAGAAGACTTCAAAGAAAATAGGGGAAGCCAATGGTTAAGTGTCCGGAGGCTAAAACCCAATGGCTAGCTTGTGTTCCATATATACTCCTATAAGGCGTATCGTTTGTTCAAGTACTGGCTATAGTAGCAATAAAGTTAGGGTATAGAGAAAGATAATCAGGTAGAGCTCCTAATTACATGGAGGCATGCATTGCCACTTGTATATAGACTTTCTTGGTAGGAAATGAGTTAGGACTACATAAAGGTGAATGCAAAGTCAGAGGCCTGCATCTGCAAACAGTCTTTTTGCTTTCTGATCTGAAAATATTTTTCCCAAGCTCATTGAGGACAGCCCTGATACACAGAAAATCTTGCCAAGGCCCTCCAAACAGTACTAGTAGTAAAAAGTGGAAAACAAAACCAACTATCAAGGATAGTACAATAAATACCCAGTAATCATGGGTTCCTAGCTATGAAACATACAGAAACAACAGGGGACACCCAGAACCAAGAGAAAACATTGGGTTCACTCAGGCTAAGGCTTTGAATGCATTAACAACTTTACTGGACTACTATTCAGTTCAATGGAACAGCAATGGTCTCAGAATGTACAATTATTTGTGAGGGGGCAGAAAGAGAAAATTCATAATAAATGATAAAGTTTGTAAATGACTAAATTTTAAAAAAATACATTATAGACAAATTAAGATTTGTCCTATAGTAATGTCACCATTCATTTACCTATGGCAATGTATTTTGAGTTAGCAACAAAGAGAATGAATATGTGTTTGTAGCACATGTGATCTGGAATGCCCTCAGAGGAGAGTGATGTGCATGTAAATATTATATAGCCTATGAGAAGTAGCAGGAAATTTAATATCTGCTGAACCCACCATGGCCTAGGTTTCTTAGAAAATCCGAGCTTCTTGTTTTGGCTGAGAAGTTGCACCCCTGAGAGATTAGTCAGGCATTAAAGGATTAGGAAGAGGCCTCCAACACTGGCTTTATAGAAATTTAAGTCATCTCATCTTTTTTCTCCTTTAAAAATCTTTTAAAAAATATCTTTATTGATTTTGAAGAGAGAGGGAGGAGAGAGAGTGGAGGGAGTGGGGAGAGAGAGAAACATCTCTCAGTTGTCTTCCACAACACCCCCACAGTCTACATCAAACCCACAACCTATGTACATGCCCTGACCTGGAATGGAACCTTTAGGTGTACGCTCTAAACAACTGAGCCACGCCAGCCAGGAGTCGTCCTCTTTTAAGAGAATCTCCTACACATGTCGTTTCTAGTTCCTCATCTTGTTATTAGACCAGCGGTCCCCAAACTTTTTGGCACCAGGGACGGGTTTCATGGGAGACAATTTTTCCATGGGAGAGGGCAGGGGATAGTTTCAGGATAATTCAAGTGCTGTAGGGCCTGGTTCCTAAAAGGCCTGGACTGGTACCGGTACTGATCGCAGCCTGGAGGTTGGGAACACCTATATTAGACCTCAAGACAGCATGAGGCTTTGCCTCCTGCCATTCCAATGAATGTCGGGAGCCGACCAAGAGCTGATCCTTGACACAGTTGGGATGGATGAGACACATCTGCACAGCAGAGGTGACTATGGCTGGATCTCTTGTCTATCTCTTCCTGTATGCCTATCCCTGCTATCAATAGGTGGTGGGATTTCTGGACCCCTGTGCTTTACAACAAAAAATCTGCACCATGCCTCTGATTCTGTGTGAAATGACTTATTGCCCACAGAAGAGAAGTCCCTAACAACCCTAGTGCTGCCTACTTCCCCCACCTGGAAAGTTAAGGACAAAATTAAACTATGGGCAGATCAGCTGCCAGAGACTGAAGGAAGCTGTTGCTAGGGATGCCCCTTAAGGAGTCACCACTTAAAAGCTCAAGATTTATTAGAGCCACTACCCATCCCATACCCTGGACAGGAATGTTTATTGAAAGGACCAGGTGGGTAAAGAAGGAAGGAGTTTTAATTAAATGTAATAATCTCAATACATGGAAATGAATATAAAACATGGCCCCCCAAGATGTATAAGTCAGTAGACCTAGGCAAAAGACCATTTATCTAACTTAGACAATCTAACCTCAATAAATAATAGCTGATTTTTAAATCACCCCTTGCACCCTTTTAATTTAGACCAATCTATAGAACCTTAGTAGACATTTAGTTATTAATTGGCACCTGAAAATTTGTGCCGGTATAGCTTTGTTGGCTAGCTGATTGATAACCCTCTGGGTCAAAATAACCTTTGTTTAACATGATTGATCTGTAAAACCTCCTGTACTTTTCAAAGTTATTTCTATGGTAACCTTTTCTGCTTTAATAATCACACTATGTACCTGCTCCAATGAGTATTGTATAACCTTCCCTGTAAAAATAAAGATTGATTCTTCTCGGGGAGTCAGTCAGGCCTAGAGAGCCTGGCTGTCCTCTGGCACCCCACGTGGTGTCTGTCTCCTTTGCCCCTGAAGGAGCCATTCCTCCTTCGAGGACCCTGAGACCTGTCGAGGCTGGACCCCAGCAAATGAAATTGTTCTCAATAAGATTATATGACTTCCTACTCAATTATCAAATCTAAGGGGCAGTTTCCAACTCTTATTTTACTCTGCATTATCAGATACTATTGATACATCCTACCTTCTTTCAGTTTTTCTCCTTACGTTTTTTGTTGGGGGCAGCTTTTCTGGGTTTTTTTACTTCAGATAATTCCCTCTCTTCATTCTCTTCATGGCTTTCTCTTTTTTCTTCACTTAAATTCTCGGTTCTGCTGTTAGTTGACTTCTAATGCTACATTATATCCAAGGAAATCTCACTTATTCTTGTGGTTTAAGAACTCCTAAATCTGACCTTTTCACTAATTTTTAGATTGTTTTATCCAATTGCTTACTAGAATAATGAATATTCATCTGGATACATCTCAGGACATCCTAATACTATTGTATCCATAACTCATCAGTCTTCCTCCTCACAGTATGCACCTCTCTTTACTCCCTATTACATTTAGAAGTCCTTCACCATACACTTATCATTCAATTCAGAAACCTGGCACATTCCTCCCTTCTGCTACCCTCAAACTCATGCTCCTAGTTGCCATCAAATTGAGCTGAAGACATACCTGGTCTGTGTCCAGCTACAGAACTGCAGCTGGATTAGACAGGACAGAGCTTCCATATACTTTAATAGATTCCCAGCTTCATAAAACCTCCTCCCATACACTGTTGTTAAGTAGAAAAGAGGTCAAGGCACTAGGAAACTGCTCTATTTTGTGATTTTTCAGTTGGATGATTACTATGTGAGGGGATTGTGAAAAGCAATATTCAGATGTGGGATATCCTAAGGTAGGGAGTTAGCAAATCTGTCCTTAGATTTGCAGTCACAGGAGAGGACAAGATTAGAGATACAGGGAAGATGATCAGTATATACTACTGGAGGTACAAAGCAGGCAA